GGCAAATAAGATCATACAGCTCATACAAACCTACTCACTTTCCTGTTGCAAGTAGACCAAAACACCCTTTAGGACACATCAGCAATTGCCATTGTGAAGAGGTCTGCCCAGATAAACCATTTCTAGAGAGTAACCATTGAGAAACAATCTCACTTATGAGTGGCAAATAGCCACATGTACATATCGTGTGGGAAACAACGGCTTGCTTACTGTGTTGTCCTCTCCACAGTCTAGCTCCGTTTTTGCATGCTAGTATCAGATAGGATTCATAAATGTCATGTACTCCACTTTAGAGTTACCACTTCAGGATGTAAAATGAGAGCACTGGCTCTGCAAGAACAGTTCATATGCATTAGACTCATGGATTGCTAGGCAAGCGCTTAGCCTGCATACTATCCCATATAGCAAAACAAAAGAGGAAGTATAATTTCAAACCTGTCAACTTTGCAGGCTCCTTTAAAATGCAACCAAGTAAAGGCACACCTCGTAAGGTGCAGGCGGCCAGATACTACAGTCTTAGGCATTTAAAAATACAGGTCTTGTCTTACTAAACTTCTAGAAAAAAATTTTCCGATGACCCTCATCCAGAAAAATTTGTCAGTGTCCAAAACAAAGACAGTCTGCAAGAAAGACAAAATCACAGCTTTCATGCCAAGCAATACAGAACTTGTATGCTTATGTTTATAATTTCAAAGGAAAATATGAGTCTGCTGTTCCTCCACTCTGTCTGCTATCAGATTATAGCAACAGAATAGACACTCAATATGGAAGAAGAATGCGACATGCATGTGAGCTCCCAACCAGAGCTAAAACTGCTAGAGCTAGCATCTCTTTAAATAATAATCTATGTGGTAATACAATCCTGTGCTTTTCAGATGTTGGGTATTGATTTAAATCCAGTATGCCTGAATTTAGCAAAAGCCACTAACCTTGAAATTTGTCTGATTCCTCGTGTGAAATGGATCGATTGTTTCATCCAGTTCTTGATGAGTAAATTAGTAAGTCACAGGAACTGCCTTCTCAACTAGTACTTTTTAAGGCACTCGTACTTAAGATGCCTCAAGCAATAGTCAGGCCGGAAATAATGTTGCTTAGGATGTGGTTTCAAATTCATACAGGTGTAAAGTATTTTTTGAAACATACGATTTACAACAAAAGTATAAGAGCAATGTGGGCAGAATAAAATTCCTTTTTTACGATCATACAGTGGTGTGTGTGTGAGAGGGGGACTGCTGAGCAGCCCAGCCATAACGTGTGATGCTGGACGTGATGGAAGTGTTTTTCTTTATATAGTGCCTGAAGAACCCAATTGTACACCCCCTAATGAATCGAACTGCGAAAATTTAACCTAAGATTTTTGTCAAGTAAAACATGAAGAATCAAACCTTATTTTGTTTTATTTTATGGGGTAGGTAGAGATATCTGTTTAAACCAGAAGATGAGCACTTCAGCTGATAGGTGGTCAGAAAGACACAAAGGGTCTCAGCAAGCTTGTTATCAGTAACAGACAATTCACTTGGTCAAGATTGGTCAAATCTGCAAAAACTTGGACGCGTCGGTTTTTGGTAACATGAGGTACTTATTTTGTAAGTAGAGAAGCACTCAAAGACACTGAAGTAAAGTCTGAAGATAAACATATGTTCATTCAACACTTGGACAGGAAGGGATGTGGAAGGCTAGCGAGAAATATAGGAGTGGTAGTTCAAGACTGACTGTCATGATGAAGAGAGCTGTATTAAAAAGAAATTAAATAAGTCATGAATTGGATAGTCTTCCAGCTGCTTTCTTTGTCATTTCCTCTCCAGGAATTTCTTATTAGGTCTTGGAATCACTTGGGACATGCAAGTCTTAAATATCAAAAGCTCTTTAAGAACAAAGAGGTATGTATAGGGAGAAGGTCATCCATGTGATAGGGCTTTCATCTTGGTATATCCTTCTTCCTTTCAGTCTCTGGAATTCATATGTCTAAAATCCACAGTACAGTGTATAAGCCAAATATATTTTTGAAAATATATTTGCAATTAGATGAGTGCTTTTCTGGTACTGTTACTAAAATAAATATTCCATGTTAAATATTAAAAGACTATTGCCCTTCAGCCAGGGACATAATTTTTTCACTTAACATGATGTGAATTTGGCTTAGTCTTTTTTTCAGAATTATTTTACTTGAAAGCACGTTCTTTTGATTATAAATCCATTCAGCTGTCTGTTACTTAGGAATGGCACAGATTTTATTAAATGTGTTAAATGTAAGCATAATGAATTCAATAAGCCAGTTTCAAATCTGTGAGGAAAGGTGTTTTTAAAAAACTTCTGCTGTTGAAGCACTGATAGTAAAAAGGCAAAAAAGCATTAATTCATTAGCATTGCAAGCCCTGGCCAGTCTTCAGTCCAACAAGTGCGATGTGGAACTGAGCATGGTACAGAACTGGAAAACAGCGTAGGAGACTCCAATGTGCAGAACAGGCAGGAGGAAACAGGAAACTGTTCCCACAGCTTAAATACTTGGTGCATTTTGGGGTTACTTCATGGTTTCTGCAGACAGATTCTTCTCAGCCTTGTTCAAGCGGACAGTGAGGAGGAAGGACGTAACAGCTCCATTTGTCATTATCTTAGGCAGCTGGTGCAGGATGGGAGCTGAATTCTTACTGAGCGGCATTGTAGGGAACTCGATTGCATCTTTCAAAGGACTGTAGTAATGGGAACGCTTTCCCTGATTTCACAAGTACTCTAGGAAACGTTTTGCCAGTCAAGAACCAAATTTCCTGTTGCTTTCCCTGTTTCTTCTTTCTGTGCCTAGCTGAGGTGTTTGTTTCTGGTTTTATGGACTTCTAGGTACAAAAAGCATATTCCAGCTTTTCACCAAGCCATAACAAACCCCAAAACAGCCATCCTTGTAAATTCAAAAAGCACTTCAAATAATTTTTTTTTTAATCTAATATTGGTTAGTAAAAACATTAAAAGTCTTACACAGAAAAGAAGAAAATACTATGGACAGAGAGTTTACTTGGGTGCTTCTCTCACGTCGATTTGTTTGGAGTTCAGAGAATTAGTAATATGTTTTTCCCTAGATGCATGCAAACAAAAACCATAAGGTCTTCATTTGCTCTGAGAAGATTAAGTATTTAGACTCTAGTGCTGATTTTAAAGGTGATATTCCTAGTTAACTATCACTCTGCACTGCAGAAGATCGACAAAGAAGTTTTAATTATTAGCTTTCCCTGAGAATATTTGTACTACACTAAGATAAATTTATCTGTTCCTCCAACTCTTATAATAAGAGGTATTTGTTCGTTTCTTTTACAAGTTTGAGTAATTCTTGGATCCAGAAGCCCATCGTGTTAACATTTCATTTATTGATGCTGAGGTCTTCAACCCCTTCAAGCCTTTATACCAGAAAATTCACTTCTGGATGACTCTCCTTTTCAGCAGCAGAAGTTGAACCGATGCTGAAAAAAGAAATTGGTTTTTAGTCCTACTGTTAAACAAGCAGAACTATTTTCAGCATAGAATGGTCTGTCTTGATAGCTGTGTCCTTAGAAGAGAGGGATTCAGGCAGATGTTTTGCTAGCAGCTATGGTGGGTAGTGTCGAGATTTACAAAGATGGATATATACAAGACAGAAAATGCAATGTTCTTCCAGTCTTGTTAGAAACAGATCTGAATCCTATACAAATGAACCAAATAGTTTTTAACCAATCAAGCTCTAAATTTTTTTCTCATTGCGAACACATCCTTAACCACAAATGCAACACTGTTAAATAAGAATAAATGCAGCAAAATACTCTTGACTCTCCTTCTCTTTTTTCCTATCTTAGCACAAGCAAAATAATATAGGTCTACTAAATTAATTAAAAAAAAAAAGGAGATCATGCTTATATTTCAGACACAGCAGTCAGCTAGTATGTCTGAAAACATGTGATGAAGTTAAAAGCATAGAAATACAGCTTTTCTCCCTTGGTCTTGAAGATACTTGAATGTATATTGGAACTGGAATTGGAGCAAGTTAAAAAAAACACAGGCCAAAAAAAAGGGCAAATCCTGACAAATAGTCTGTAACTTCCCTTGCTTTTAAAGAGACACCCTGTATCTGCAACTCTCCAGATTTGGCAACTGTATGTAATTCAGTCTAAACTCCCACTGACATCAGCAAAAAATTGCCTGTTAAGAGATGCAGGACTGAATCTAAGATAATAGCATATTAAAATTCCATTACAAATTCAAAAGCTACTAATGGAAATTAAATCCCCCAAATATAAAACATTCAATGCAATTGAAGAGTTTTCATTGTACATACTCAAAATGTTAAACAATAGTAGCACTTGCATGTGTGACCATCAGGAAACACAGCTGTGCTTCTTTCTGTTACAATTAATTACTTCCGTTGTATATAAAATTGAAAGTATTGGTACTCTGGTGCGGAAAAAGGATATCCTGATACACTGCTCCTATTTCCGTACCAAGGCCTATTACTGAACCTTTCGCCATTAATTCATTTACAATGAATTATCCTGCGATGAATAAAGGAAGGCTAAACTGGCTGGTTAACTGTAATACTTCAAGCTACTTTCTCTTTGCGTTTTCACACTCCCACAAGTATATTTCATTTTACTATTTTTCACACATGCCCTCTTTGACAGCAGTTGTTTACTTTAAAGTAGTTGGAGTTTAATAGTGAGATGTCTAAAATAAATGTTTACTTAACTATCCTTTGATTTAAAGATTGTTCTATTCATTTGCTTTTTACATTATAAAATGAGAGAAAGCAGGAGGTTTTGTCACTGCTCTTTAAGGGAATAAGTAAAGTGAGCTTAAGTGTTTGTGGCCAGATTCTCTGAGGCTGGTACACAGAGATGAAATGTATACCTTTCTGCGCTAGTATAGTTCCTAAGCTGGAGGGGGAAGAGGATTCTTACCCAGGGTTAGAAAGGAGCAGTAACAGCTCAGCATCTCTCTGTTAACGCATTCTCTTACATTTTGGTGGAGCAAAAACTGTTTTGAGGTTGTACTGAATAGTGCAAATCTGCACCCTAATGATATACACTGTCCCCAGACACTAATACCTACGTTTTTAATTACACTGACCTCTTTCTTTGTAGAGAGCTTCTGAACAAAGAGCAGCTTTTATGACTGTTCAGAAAGTCGATGAAGTCTCCAATAGCCACCAACCATGTAAGTCTATAAAAGGTGGATAGTACGTGTAGTATTTGCTACTAAGAATTTAATCACTCAGGATGCTTCCTAACCTGAAAGTCCATGGTCCTGTGCGCAGGTGTAATGTTTCAGAATGTTTCCATGGTCAGAATGTTTCCGACCCATTAGAAGATGTGTAACACAAAGCTAAGTGACGTGGGGTAAACGTGGAGTCCTTTCACATCAGCACAAATTAAATCTGCCAAATGAACTAAAATCTTTGCAAATGTGAATTCAGTCTAGTTGGTGTCATGACAAAGTAGCAGAACAAAGCCAACTCAGAGAAGCTTCTATTCCAGAAACTGGTCTACATTAATACAAAAGGCAAAAAGCCATCATCCACTTAAAATATAGCCCCGTTTTCCTTTTGCTGCAACAGCTGGCACTGGAAATACAGACTCTGAGGCTGAGTGTGCTCTGTCGTTACTCTATCACAACGCAGTTTAGATTAAGGTATGCTGAATGTGATGTGATAGCTAGAACCTGAACTTCTCTGGCCAGACTATCACATTTCTGGCAAGAATTTTTTGGCCAGAAGAACATGCAATGAAGCAAAGGTGCTGTGTAGCATGCATGTAATAAAGCAGAAACTTCCAGTAAGCATCAGCTATATTGTACCTCCCCAGTAATCAGACGTTTCCAGGATGCAGCAGACTAGATACACTCAGAATAGCTACACAGACATAATTTTGCTTCTTACCACACATTGTTATACAGCTTGCAAGCATGCTAAGAACAGTATCTGTGATCAGGCTTCCACCTGTGCAGAAACCATAGGCAAATTTATAATGTCCTCAAAATCAGTGCAGAGAAAAATTTCCAGGAAGAAAAAGAAAATAGGTCAGGGAAAAATCCAAGTTTATGGAGGCCTGCCAGTGGCACTAGATGCTGCAGAAAAAAACTGACTAGTGTGCTGTGAGGCAAGTAAAAGAAAATGATTTCTTTTTTTTAATTTAAAAACTGTTATTTCATCTGTTCACTTAAAATTAAATGGAAGTTTTCATTTGTTATTAAATTCCAGATCCCTTTAGAAATAACTCATGTTTTTATTCAGAACAAATTCTTATTCTGAAAATCCTCTTTTATGTGTTATATTGTAGCATTTATACCTTTGTAGTATACTAATGCTTGCTCTTTCAAATAAAGTTCTTTCAGTTTCTTCATTCTTTCATTCTTTCAGTTGCTAAAATAGACTTTAAAAGAATAAAGTAATTTCAGTTATTCAGTTATTAACCTTTTTATTGGCTTGGAAAGTAAGTTGTATTATTCCCATTTTACAGATTGGAAAATAAGCAAAACAAAACTAAGCAATTTAAGGCTAAGCAATGAAGGTTGAGCCAAGATTACAACTAGAGAAGAGATTCTGACTTTCAGCCCCAAGATCAGCTTCCTAGCTGATTACACTGCTTTTTCTATGAGCTTGATCCTTGCAAGGCTCATTTCCCCTGAATAAGTTCTTCCAGACTGTGCCTCCTACTCTTTGAGGAAGTTTACAGCCCAAATAAAATACTGCCTTGCAGAATGAAATGCTTTGGTTGTGAAATGATGTATTTGGTCTGTGTTTATAATGCACAAATAACATTTTATTCCTAAAGTCATACTTTTTTATATGGAGCCAAATTTTTGAAAATGTGCCCTTTCTGCTCTCACATCTCCTATGGTATCAAAAATCCATAGAAGGCATCATCTCATAAAGCACAAATATCTAACTAATAACAAACTCAGTCTCTGAGTGCACTCAGTTTAATACAGTATTATTATGCCATGCATAGTAAATGCACTATATGACTTCAACAGTTTAGACTCAAATACTGCAGGTGTAAGCTGCATCCACTTAAAGGGAATCAAAGCCTCAATTCCGAGTATAATTTCCTGTTTCAATCCACATATATGTTCCATACATACATATATGTATGCTTGCATATCCTTTTCTTTAAACCATGGTAAACCTTGATCCCAGCATTATTTTCTAGTCTACATATGGTTAAATCTTAAAATAATTGAAGTCCTGTAACTCATTCTCTCTTTTCTTCTGAAATAAGATCTTTTGAGACTGTGGATATAGCCATTTATTAGCTTCCTAAAAATCCAGAACACTCCCTTTAATACACTGTGAGAATAAATCATTCCAGAAGAACAGCACGTTTCCTAGCCTTCTTGAAGCAAGGAGCATTCATCCCCCGTGCATCTTTGGAAGGACCATCACCTTTGTTCAATTCAAAGCTGCATTTTTATCTTTTTCACCAAATTAAAAGAAAAATAAATTGCTAGTTCAGTTTCAGAAAACCCTCAACTTTTTCAGCAACACCACACATACTAAAACTAAGTGGAAGCAGAAGTATTTCCGTAACATCTTTATCATTAATGAAAATCTGAATTTTAAAAGTAAAAAAAATAAATAAAATACTTTTGTGGTAGAGGAAGAATTATTAGTGATACTATAATGCATGTTTGATTATTACATAACAGCTAAAATCTGGAAATTTTCAAAGGAAAAATGTGTTTTGTTCAAAAGTTTAGCTTTTCATGAAGCAGTTTCATTCTGTTTGTCCTTATTACCCGGAACAATCTCATGACTCAGACATGAGGACTCTGAAGTTCTTGTTGGCCATAGGTGCTGTATAAATTAATGGGCATTTCAGCACAATAGTGACTGATAAGCACATGGAAGACTCCAAGGGAATAGGGATGGTTTAGCAATGGATCTATTGTATACGACTTTGCTCCCTGATTTCACAGAAACACCTGTATTTCACAGAGGCACTGGTTTTCAGGGGCTCATGTAATTCATAAAAAGCCAGGAAGCAGCCATTTTTTTCCAGGGTGGTTTGTCACTTCCAGATCAAATCCTCCTCGATGTGAAATTTCACATCGAGGCAGGATGAGCTTGAGCTGCATTCTGTGACTCCAGGCTCAGAATACATATGCTACTGGCCTTAAGTCTTTGCATGCCATTGGACATGCAGTCAATGCCTAAAATGCAGAGGCATACAGCAGTATACTCTACTTATTTATACTGAACAGTACAGTATCACCACCACAAGACCACATTTGAAGGCCAGCAGGAACTCTGTAGAAGCTTCTGCCTTCCACAGGGGCAGGATAGAGGTGGATCAGCTGCAGTCGTTGAGACTGTGCCTCCCTCTCTACTGAGTTACTGTTGGTGGGGTGAAACAGACTGTCTGGAGGGATGTGCAGGGCAAGACAAGATCAGCAGCAAATTGTGACAGAACCTCACTTCTAGCACCTTTAGGACCCCAGAGCAGGAAGCTCCTGCTATAGTGGGAATAGCTAATGTCCACCACTATAACATGTCTCTGTACAACTTTGAAATTATAACCCCAGTTTGTCTTTTCTGTTTTGACTAAGAAAAAACACAGTGGATTCATTCTCAGCTTACTGACACACCTGTACAGTGCAGCCCATTTGTTACTGTTTTCCCTTGCTATAATCTTTCTGAGAGGAGGAGGAGGAGGACTATTTTGGAACACTTAAGGGCATGTTTTATAAGCATACAACACAGAATTTATGCCTGAATATAATCTGAATCTCATCCATACCTCTCTGATTTGGCCAGGAGAACAAAGCATTTCATTGTGTATTCAATAATGATTTCAGCAATCTTATTCACACATTCCTTTCTTAATCAACAGAAACTGACTGAATTTAAGATTCATGATTGGGGGGAACAATGCCAAAACCTAGAGTTTTGAAATCACTGATTTTCTTCAGAGCAAATCATAATCACTCTTCTATTCTGAATCTTTTAGTGCAGCACTTGCCAAGCTATTTTGCACCATGTCCTTCTCTAGCAAACTTCGCTGTTCGCTTCTTGCCCCCTGTTTAACTGGCACAGTGCTGCGCTCATGACTGTACTGCTTCCACTTCCAGGAGCTAGACTAACTTGAAAGATGATGGTGCACAGTTTAGGAAGCATTGTCTGCTGCAATGGTTAAAGGTCAGAACAGGCAATCTAAAAACAGCACCTCAGAGCTGACAATAAATTGTGTATGTTCTGCTCATTCTTTTGAATTGCATTTTTCCTTATGCACACTATAAACAGAAATTAGGGCTGTAAAATAAAATCAAAGTGCACAAAATTGCACTTCCTCATGCTGTACTTCGCAATGCCATCTAAAGCCAATTCTGTCCGCTTACTACCTAACTTCTTAATTAGGTTTAATATCATCAGTTATATCTTTAAACATAACTGCATTCCCGAGGGGTGTGAATTAGGAACGTACAAAATGGCTGTTTTAATAAGCTATCCTGTTCTATGAAGATTTACTTTCATTTGGAAGTATTTCTTGGCACTAGAGTTCAGTGAGAACGTTTAGAACTTTTTGTGCGTTTTTTAAAGTCACTTCTGCTAAGCAACAGAAAGAACACCCACCTGAGTTAGGCAATCGAACTTTGTTCTCGGATGCATCTGTGTAACCTAAGACAGAACTTACCCTTTCCTTATAAAGTTACTTTAAGCAGTATTTGTTGACACAATAAGGTCTGTGAATTTACAAGTCTTGCTAAGTTACAACTTGTACTATTAGTACGCTACGTCTTTTAAGAGTGCTAATGTTTGTTTAAAACAGCACAATAATGGTTAATAAAACATTCAAGACTGATATACAATGAGGAAAAGTTGAAACCAAAGCTTTTTATTTTAAGGTCTGAAGTAGAGAATACAAGCTTGTGTAGGCTTTCTTATCAGTACTACATGGCTGAAAGCTGTCATCTGTTCACATGCCGTATTAATAAATATGCCCAAATCATAAAGTTCTAAATGTATTTGCACGTTCCTTTTATAACTAGACTGTTTTATTTGTGTTGGCACAGATAACCCATGCAAGGTACAGTTACTCACACCTCATAAACCACACTACACTCTTGTTTCTGAAACAACTAGAAACTTAAAAATATATATATATATATCTAAAAGCAAGGGCACTTGTGGCATCAGGTCAACATTTCAATATATTATAAAACCTAGACTTCTAGTATGATCACTGCAGGCAACAAATCACTCAGTTTAGAATTCTGATGTTTATAAATACTAAACAAATTAATATTTGCTACCAGGAGACAAGTATTGCAAATAAACATTAGCGTGCCCAGCATTAGACACTAGTAAGTGTGTTTAGTGCTGTGGACGTTCACATTATTAAGTATAAATACAAATAATCTTTAACAAAACATTTCACCCAAATTACTGACCACTGAAGGACCAAAGTAAAATAACTGTCCATGTTTTGAATTGATTTTAGAAATGTGTAATGCGTGAATCCAACAGATTAAAAACTAACTTCCAAAAAGTAGTCAGATCAGTTGTTTTTTCAGATAATAAAAGCAAAGTCATCTTTGGAGACGTTTAATTCACCCTGTTCTGAAAAACAAAACAAAACAAAAAACAAAAAGAAAAAAGCATTAAGATGATTTTTGAAGCCTTTGACTGAAAAGATATTGATCACTTTTTAATTAGATAAAAGATAGGTCCTTTTATTTGATCATTCAGAGGTACAGTATCTTTGTTTTATTACGTAAAGCCCCATGTGAATTATAATGAAAAAAAGTATTTAGAGGAACTTATGACTTAACCCAGGCATCTGTTACAAGACAGAAAACATAAACAAACACACATCATTCATCTAGCAAACGCTATGTTTGAACAGCATTTGTGTTCAGTGATAGTTGAAATGCGGGCCTATTTTTAATTTTATATAAAATATATGTGTGTGTGTGTGCGCGCGCATCTTTCCCACCCCCATATCACATATAGGACAGCTGGCAGAAGAGTATCAGCAGTTACATGGTATCCTACCCATATGAGAGTTAAAATACTATTATTATCCACAAATTTCTGGTTCAGATATGTGCAAAAATTGTATCTTAATATAGATATCAAAGGTGGGTAAGCGGATTCCCAATTTTTGGACCACATCATGAAGCAGCACAAGTCAAAACAGGAAATTTATTACATGATATTTCTCAGGGTATCTCTGTTCTTCATTCAGAGATATCACTATACCTCATATAGTGATATGTAAACTAGCTTCAATCTCACTGGCTCAGACACCAGCTGGAGTCAGGGCATGCGTTACAGTGCAGGTTAGCTGCCCAAGGAAATTTTCAGGACCCTCACAAATTAGCAGGGCTCCCACCAAAGTCTGTGCCACTGCATTTTCATTGTTGCCACTCTGCAAGCTAGTTCAGCTACGTCTATAACTATTCCGTTCACCCCTCTGCCGTGCAGGCTTCGAACATGCTGGATGGGGTCTTGTATCTTCCCTGCTCATCCCATATATATGCATTCATACTGTACTTCTGGTCTACTGTGAGCTCCCTGCACCCTAATTTCCAAAGGGCTCCAAGCCCCTTCCCTGAACATAACCAGTCACCCTGGCTATTCCCCCCTCCCGCCTAGTATCTAACATCTCAAGAGTTAGTGAAACTGGCCTCATCTAGCCATTCCCCCTCCTCCAACCCCAGCTTCAGTAAGGGCTTCCCCTGCCTCCTCAACGCTCGTCTTTCTGTGCTTGACCAGAGGCCCCAGAGCCCTGCCTTCTGGCTGCCAGTTCTCTTCCCACTTGCATCCAGCCCCAGCCCTGCTGCCGCCTTCTCTGACCGTCTCCTCAAAGGTAACATTCCTCACACAGCCAGCGAAGAGCACACTTTCAGGGTCTTTGCAGAGGGGAAGGTGGAGAGGGAGAGACAGACACAGATGCATACATATAGACTAGAGGCAAAAGACCTGATGAAATTCTCCTGAGGCATCACACGCCCTAGCATTTTGTATCCTCCCAAAGGAGCCTGACGCCTGTTTTGAGAATCTGTGATGCTGGCATATGGTAAGAGATTAGCCCTAGTCAGTGGGTAACACAGAAACTGCCTAGAAGAGCATCTTCAGTGCAGGCTTAGTATATAGTATGATTTTACTGATTCTATCTCTAAGTGATAGAGAGTAATAAACACCAGCTTTTGTTGAATGACATTCAAAAAATAAAAGGAAATACAGAATCACCTCACTCTTACAAAAAGCTACTTAATGCAGTCTAATATGAGTGAAAAATGATTTAACTTCCATGATTACAATTTACTCCACTGGAGAATACTATGAGCCAGATCTTTGGATTATGTAATTAATGGAACCATATTTACCCCAGTCCAGCACTAACTAAAAACAGAGAAGTTGTTTACTATAGAAAAAAAAGACTGTGTACATAATGTACTTTTTAAGAATAATTCATGCATATAAAAATCTGACCCGGTAACACTGGGGTCAGATTACTGCTAGGATCAGGGAGAACTAATGTACCTACAGAACAAATACAGGTCACACATCTCAAAACTGCCACAAGCCGTTTTAGGTTGTTTTTTTTTTTTTCCAAGATGTGGACTGCCTGCAGATAAGTTTCAGCTGACACATTAGAACCCCAGACTTCCTTTATTTCCTTCCCCTACCAGCTCTTCATCCCTAAAAGACATAGCAACTTTCTTTAAAAGGGTATTACACGTTACAGGAATGAAGAGAATTCTAAGTCACTCATTGTAATTCAAAACTACAAGGTACAATAGGATGCAGATGGTACCAGAATGGGTACTGTGGAATGCATCCTCGGGTAGCTGAAGCCCAATAAATATTAACTTTAAACTGTCAGTACTGTAAGCTATCAATACAGAATCATAATTCTCACTTAAATTAATAAAACTTGAATAGTCATCAAACTTTCAATTTTAATGCTATTTTCTGTTCAGTAGAACTGCTGTCTGTCCTACGAGAATAATTGATAATTAAAAATTATCAATACTACAAATATTGCTGTCTTTTGCAAAAAAAAAAAAAGTTTTATAAGTAACTGTTTGAACAACTTGAAAGGTGTTTTAAAAATATTAGAAAAGATGACTGTATGGTCATCCTAAGTGTCAGAGCCTATCTACTGTCTTACAGTGGCAAACACAACACAATCAGAATGAGTTGCATTTAAATTAATCAAAGTAATAAGGAACACGTACCTGTGCCGTTGTGCTGCCTTGTGAATTTTTATCAATGTTCATTCACTACAGGAAAAATGAAAATGGGGATACGTGGGGATAGAGTAGGGAACTTTTGGCAAGCTATCTCCCACTTCCAAGCTGTGCTCAGTGGAGGTGTGTCTTCAGTGTTAATTAATGTGAAGCTCAAGATGTAGATTCCTATCTCTCACTGAAATAAATGGAAATTAGACACCTAAGCAACTTTGAGAATTTTGTTTCCCAAGAGGAAAGGCAAACCAGGTTTGAATTAAAAGACAGTTCCTTCCCAGCCACCCCCATTCCATTCAATTTAAGAGCACGCTGGAGAAAGCCAGTTGCCCTCTTCCATTATGATCTGGAAGTGAGGTAATCTACCGTTCACATATAAGCCAAGTAAGGTAAACCCAAACAAGGTAAACCCAAAATGCTTTTCTCAGTCTTACTGGGTTGTGGATGGAGATAATTTTGTTTCCCCTTTAATCTTAAACTAAGTTACCCATTGTCTCATAAGCTTCCCAGCTGCATATGGATTCAAGGCAAACTTCTTGTTTGGAAAGATTCTAAAATGTTTGATGCTATGAGGTAGCATCACGACATAATGGAATAGCCCTCACTTTTCAATTTCTTTTCATGATATAATGCAATAGCCCTCACTTTTCAATGAGGGAATCCTAATCTATTTCCCTTTGAAAGCTATTGCCTTTGGTTCTACAGATTATTGTACACGTGGCACTTACTCATTCTTGTTACAAAAGAAAATGACTTATTACAAAAGGACTTTTCCAGTTATTCTTGGACACTAGTGTGTGGTCTAAGCAGTAAAGCTGTTCTGGGTAGTTCATTTGAAACTGTGTCTTACTTTTTATGTTATAGTTTTTAGGAAATTTCAGTATTTTCCCCCAGCTGTTGCACTAAATCTATTTTCAAATAAATAGTTCATTTGTTTTGATTGTTCATTCAGTAGTTTTTGAATGAACCATACCAAAGCATGTTCTGCATATATGAAAGAGGTTAAAATTAAACTTCAGAAGTATCAGCTTCCTAGCTTTTACCCAGAGAAATACTAGCCATAGTTATCCATTTCATAATTGCCCACTTAGTCATATATTTTTCCCCAGCAAAACTGGCTTCCAGCTCTTCCTTTAGATGTTGATGGCATGGGCATGCTTCTTGCACAGTGGCTTATCCTTCTTGGAGTAAAATGGTTGGCCTTCCAAATTCACATGGCATACCTAGAATAATAATAAATGCAATCAGGAATCACAATAAAAAGAAAATAAGATTTAAAAAAAGATGTGATTATCAATGTCAACTGCGTTTCTTTTCAGCCCACGCATTTTTTTGGTTAAGTCTGCACAACAGAATCCAGAAGTGCCTGGCTTCCTGGATCAAAGTGCATGCTCTGGTAGTTTTCCCAACTCTGTGCTGAGGTTAGGCCTTGGTTGGCATCAACCCTCTGCTCTGTATTTTTCTGCCACGCAAGCCAGAAGGCAGCTTCAGCATGTCCCAGCAGTGCCTATGTAGACTGTCAAGGGATAGTGGCACACAGATCTACATTCTGATACTCTAAATGTATGATTTTCCAGCAGCTCTGGTTAGGGGCCAAGGTCCCAGAGGTACCCCTCTGCCATGGTACCATTAGAAACTCAGTTCCCCTCACTTCTTTGCCCTGATACTGCTGATACTAGTGTGCATGAGTCATTCAGAAAGCTATCACTGAAAACGAATTACTTTTTCTCACCAGGTTATTCTTCAACCTGCAGAGTTCTCTGCCTGGCTGCGAAAGCACCAGTGTTGACACAGCAAAGCACGTGGGAATGAATGGCCAAGGGCAGGGCAACCCAGAATTAGGTCAGCTTATGCTGTCCAGGAATTATACCTATATCCAACACTGAGTGGTATACCACCGCTTGCAAGGTCAGAGTTTACTAGAACTGCTTAAGGTAGTCAGTGTATCAGAATCTAGATACAAGAATAAACTTTGACCTTATGCTTACAGCAGGCTCAAGACCAGGGAGTGATAACATCAGCAACGTGCTATTGCAAGTGAAAGGAAAACCATGTGACTGGATATGAGAATAAGCGTATGAGAAATGAATAATCATGTGTGTATTTTCATTTGACTTTTATCCCATTGAAAGAATTGAAGTGACCTGCTGTTAACACAGCTGTGAGAACTGTATTAACAAAACAAAGAGATCTCACCTCTGTAGAAACCTGGGTTGCTAATTAAAATAGTTAAATTAAATGAACAAGTGAAAAAAGAATAGGAAGCATTCAGAGAAAGTGTCTTTTACAAGTGACTAACAGCTGTTTGTGTATGGAATTGGCTGCCTTGGTGTTCCTTTCTGTGTTACATCTTCAAAGATGCTTCCATTTTCAAATAAGGACAACAGCATTGTGTCACTCACTTCCACGTGTCCTTGAAAGAGTGGTAGCCACTTAGTTTAGCTCTAGATATTTTAAGTATTTCTACACTTTTACTTTTCAATGCAAATTTTAGAGTTGGGGTTCCACAAACGTTAGAAACGGCCACTGTCATTTCTGGTGTGGCCAAGAAATTATTTTTACCTAATTAAAGATTTTACATATTATTAATTATCTTAGGAATAATGGGCTGGGGAGTAGCACGGCTATATTAGGACCATATGGAAAGTACTGTTTATCATATGGATCTTACTACTTTGTGTGCAGAGTGTGGGTATATGGCTCTATAGCTGTACACACACCACGGATTGATGAGTTGGACCAAATCTATGCTAATTACTATTCATTCTATCTAAACACATTCCTTTTTACAAGTTTCAACAAGCATTCTGAACGGAAATGCAAACTTTGCAGCTTTGTAAGCAAGATTATGGCTATACTGTTCAGTGTGGCATTAATTTATTTTAAATTCTGATTTATCTTCATTCAGTAACAGTGGAAAGAACAACAAACAGTGCTACTTATTCCTGTATATACAGACTCTCTCTAAAACTGTGTCTTATATTAAAAAGCACTCACTCACGACGGTCAAATTTAATAATTCAAGTAAAAGTTTAGGGAGAGGAGAGGATAAACAACTCCCATCCCTCTCCATCCACAATTAAAAAATGAAATTAAATCCCTCTGCATCCTTAGGTGTATGTTAGTCATTCCCCCCTCTTCCAGTTCTTCCGATGTTGCTTCATAATGAACGATAAGAATATAAAGAAACGAGATAGATTTTACTATAGAACCTACAGCACAAATGAAGCAGGTATCATGCCAAGTGTGTCCAAGGGCTTCGATGAATTTATCTCCAGCTTCAACAGGAAAATCACAGCCATGGCATTTTGTGCTGAACAAAGCAATATAATCTAAAATAAAACAAAAAGCAAACTTAGAACAAACTCTTAACATAATCACATTACATCCAAGAGAAACAAAGTTTCTAGAGGATGATTTTTTGGGTTATTGCCGCTCAGAACTTTTACTGCATTCACTGAAACTCTCCCATAATGAAATTTTAGAGCTGCCTCTTCTTTTTTTTGCTTATTCAAATACAGATTCAGTGCAAAACCCCACAACGGTACAGCACTACAGTTGCAAGTATAGAACACAAACATACAAAATTCAGGAAATTCAAAAGCTGTCTTTCTCATAGCAGTTTTACGTTAGCTTTAATGTATCTGTAAGCTACAAAGGACAAATACGGTTATACAGAATAAAGTCTAATGGCCACTGACTGTGACCTTAAGGGTGGTGTAGAAGCATAAACCCAGTCATGGAGACTTAAGTTATGTTCTCTATTTTAAAGCTGAAACACTATACTTTTTCTGCATTAAGAAAGAACATTATAGGAATACCATACTGTCTAGGTAATACATCTTCACTTTGAATATCAATTTGGAATTGGCGATTACTTCATCTTGAAAAAGATTAGCAGAAATTCAAAAGGTATATGAGATTACTGAGAATAATTTAGAGGTTATGGCAAGAACTCTAATTTTGAAGGGCAGGTACCAAGTCAGTCATGCTGTATATTTTTAATGCTTTAGCAAGAGTTACTCTGATTTAAAAAGTTTTATTTGCACAGCCATAGTAAGGAAAGCATCTCCAGAAAGAACTAGGCCAGGTGCACAGCTAATGGACAAGGCGAGGCTTATAAGGGAATACCACTTTACCCTTATCCTGCTTCCAAAACATGTCTTCCAACTCATTTGCATGGCTAGCTCCATTTATTAAACCACATTATCCTTTCCATAGTTTTCGAAAACCTGGCCTTTTCCTTTCTTAGCTTACAAGGAGGAATGTATTTGTTCCAGCATTCGGAAAACAGATAATCTGTATGACCATCTGTTGCATATCTGAGCAGAGCTATCTTTTCACGTATAGGTCAGTTTTAAGGTGAAGGAGAAGCATAAGAGCTTATAGTTCAAACAACTTAATAGAAGACAGAGGATATGGGCCGCAACCCACCCATACTGTATAAAAGCACTATCAGGAACCTAATAGAAGATCTTGCCCCAGGAACATATAGATTTCTAGTGAGTAGGATCCAAGTAGGGCCCACCAGGGAAGCGAGGGAGACAAGGGAAAAAAAGGAGGGAGACAGATGAAAGATGAATACCATTACAGGTAAAGGAGAGAAATGACGCAAGGTATTCTGGGACATATGGAGACTCGCTCTGCCTGTCTATCATGAGGTGGAGAAAAATACAGAGTACGAACCATTTGTACAGGCTGATAGTAGAGACAAAAACCGTGCTAGATGGATAACTGTTTTTTTTTTTTTTATTTTTTTGCTCAGCAATTGCTTTGTTCTTATGCTGCTTCCATACAACATAAAGCACATGAATAGTGAGCAGGAAGGTCCAGTTTGCCATACCTTTCTCACAGTAAGGCTCTCCATCCTCCATGTGAAAGAGGCTATTCCCAAACGGCTTCTTACAAGCAGCACAGACAAAGCAACTTGTGTGCCAAGTCTGTCTTAGGGCATGCATCACTTCCTGTAAAACAAACAAACAAACAAACAATAATCTCCAGCGCAATCGCATGCACTGTAACTACCTATTAGGGAACAAACACAAGGCACAGAGGCTCTGAACTTCTCATTTTATATCAGCATATTCCTCTCGCCAAAAGAAAGCAACGTAACAGAAATCGGGCTCCTTTGAAAGGAAGGGGAAATAGCACTGCCAACCTTCTAGAACAACGCATTTGCCAAAATGAAACAACAGAGTTCAGCCAGCTGTTGTATCAACATGCCCAGTCCCTGTTGCAGGAGAGAGTCCGCACAAAGATTCAGCTTCTTTTCCCTTTGTTTGGACACTATTAGTATGAACTCTTCACTGCAAGAGTGTGATTTATTAAATTTAAGTAAATTCTGAAGAGTAGCTTTCCCTCTGAGACCAAGCAATGCATGCAGGGGATAAGTCATTTTCAAGTCCAATGTTTTTAAAGCAGCTTAGATCAGGTGCTCATTTCTTTAAGCTTCTCACAACAAATTTTTAAAAACTGATATGCAAATTTAAAAAAGTAGTTGTGTTCTTAGATTTTAGCTCATATGATTAGTGAAAATGAGTCCGTGGGTCTGTTCCTAGGCCACAGCGAATGCATTCATCTCACAAAAAACAAATCTGCCCAACTGATGCTTTCTAGCTTGATACTGGACAGGTGGCAGTTTTTTACACATACCTGTGATGATCCATACCCTATGTTTTCACAAACACTGCAACACCACTATAAATCACTGACACAAAAATGGGCTGTCCTTAGCCTCCCACCATTCCCAGTTGCTTCCTCCTCCCCTACATGGATCCCCTTCTCCCCAGACAAGTGTTCATGCGACTAAACCAAGGAACTGGACTATTTTTGCCAAAATAGTTTAACCCATATCAATTCCTTAAACTTTTGTGTGCGTGGCCACACAAAAGCTTATCCCAGACCAAGAAATGGATGGCGCAGGCAATAGGAAAGAGCAATTGGAAGTAGTGGGAGAGTGTAACAACTTCTTTTGCAATGAGTATCAGCTTACTGTATCCAGGTAGTAACAGACACAGTCGTCCAAGTTTGTTTGTTCACCTGAACTGACGCAGATCTAGCAGTCAGGTAATGAAAATCTTCCTTTTTATTCTTTCTTTATAAAAAAAAAATACCTTGAACATAGTACCTAGATTTTATCAGTTTCTTTCTTCTATCCACTGTGGAGCAATCTATTGCTGCTTCGTTCTTATCTTGTCATACTGAAGTTCTGCAAGTCCAAAAGCTGCTGTACGGAGCTCTGATGCATGGCTACCTGCTAATGTGTTATTCTGACTTGTGCTCAAGAGGATGTTTGACAGTGCATCTCTGTGGAAAGGGCCAGATGTTCAACTGGTATAAATTAGTTTAGCTTTATTAATTTCAATAAAATGACAATGACTTACACCAGCTGAGGATCTGGATCCTATTTTATGTTGCTTCTGATTCAATATGTAGATTCTGATTCTCACTTTTTTACATTCTTTTTAATCTCCATTGACTGACACAAAAGGGATTGAAATCCTTTCCATGCTTTCAATCTAGTGAACAGACAAAATGGGCTCACTTATGTTTGCCATATATCTCATTATAGAATCACCACTGAGATTCATTTACTTCTGTTACTGTTTGCAGTAAATATAGGTTTGTGTCCATTTAAGAACCTCACTGAGCTAAGAAGTAAAAAAAAAAAAAAAAAGAAAAAGAAAACACCAGATTGAGAAATCTTATTAATATAAAGAGAGGCAGCTGGCCTCTTTGCTATTTTCCTGATGAAAATCCGTAACAGAGAACTGATTTGTGCCATCATTAATTAGATAAGTTAAGTCAGTACTCTGCTTTAAAATTATTCCTACTGCTGCAGTAGTAAACAGGACTTGGTTGGAGCCAGAGCTTCACTGTAAATGTCTGATGCTGCCATCCCTAATTGGCAATTGCAGAGGAAAGCATCTACATTGTCGATGCCAGCATTCAGAGAGATGTCAAAAGGTGAAGGCTAAGTAGTGAAAGCCAGGCTAGTACTCCTTGCTTTCCCATTTAAAAGAATCATGTCATATATTCATTATAACTGCATGCATAAATACGCTGCTAAAATTAAATTACAGTACTCCAGCCTCATCACCATCTGCGTCGAGCATCATTTACTTGTATCTGAGCATGAATATATTAAGACAAAAGTGACATCTAATTCTGCCCTTCTGGAATTCAGATCTTCATATTTATTCTGTATTTTAGTTTCTTAACTCTTAGTAAGTCAACAGAATTTCTCTGGGCAGCTGCGTTGCTAGTCAATAGTGAAGTGCAATGAGAGGAATGGGTCTCTTCCCAAGATCACTGACTTCTCTACCGAGCTTTAGATTTAAGGCGTGTATAAAAAAAAAAAAATACTCCCAGTTCAAGTCTCTTGTTACAAAGACAAGGAAAAGACAGATAAGAGAAACACACCGACTTTTAGGTGTTAGATAGCATCAAAGAACTATCCAGAAAGTGTTATTTATTTTATACTCAGAGAGATGGTAATTGAATTACATATTCTGCCTATAACCTAAAGTACAGAAGTATCCAAGATTTCAGAGAGTTAAAAACTGTTATAAAAGAATATACATTTCTCACTCTGGAATAATCAACAGGTTGGGAAATTATTGTTTAAAAAAAGGGAAATAATTAAATATCTCCATTCACTGCTTACAGTCTAAACTTTTCCTAATTTCAGTGGACCAGAGAAAGGATTCCACTAGTCATCTTACTCACCCCCATGATCTTAGTGTGGCATCTGGCACAGGTTGGTGCGAAGAACTGCTCATAACAGCGCTCACAGTATACACTATTCTGCTCTTCCACAAAGCACACATCAGCCAAGGATGTCTTGCAGTACGCACAGTTGAATTCTTCTGGGTGCCAAGAGCGACCCATGGCTACCAGGAAAGGACCCCTGTAAATAATCATAATTATTTATTTGTATTACAAAAATATTGAATGTCCTTGATTACAAGCCCATTTTGCTAGACACTGCACACACGTAGCAGTCGTTCCAGATGAACCACGAAGGTGCGTGTTAAAATAACATCCAGAAACCTGAACAGAAATGGTCTTTTTCAAGATCACTACTAAAACACTTTGCGAACTGGTTAAAATATTTCATTACTGTTTAGATATATACGTTAGATTTTCAAAGCAACTGTTGGAAAAAATCATCACTTGTTTTCATATCTGCAGGGCTACAATGGTCTTTGTGACCAGTTGCAAAATATTTAACACAGTTCTTAAAACAGGACACACAAAATATAGACGTGTATAAGTATAAGACAGCAGGAAAAGACCCAAGAGTTGTAATGCACAAAATAAAGCTACTACTTGAAAGCATGAAAGAGCAGGCAAATTTCCAAACCCACACACCCACACCTCACAATAGCTCCTAAAGTCTCCTGCTTTCTTTGCATCTGAGCGAGAACTGCATGCTGCATTTTCTAAAAACATGACAGACTATCAGATGGCAACTTGCTGTTTGATTATATGGGGAAGGCACATTAAAGTATTTTTGGTGATTTACTTTTAATTGTAATTACATGTAGTGATAAGAATTTTATTCTTTTATTACTGGAGTCTTTCTGTTTCAGAATAGGGGGATAATCAGCAGTTCCACATCACCAAACTTGCTCCTTCTAGTGAGCAAGACTGTCATTAAACATGGATTACAGTTGGTTAGCAGTCCACAGGGTAACAATGGGCACCAGTCCAGCAGAATGAACTGGGAGAGGAGAAGGGAGAAGCATGCTATGAATCACTGATAATAGAGTGTAGGCATTATCTTTCTCCAGACACAAAAGCAGCAATTACATTTGGCTGCCGTTCCAAAATGACGTCTCATTCCTTTTCTCTCTACCATCCCCCCTTTTTCCACAACTCCCCCCAAGAAATTGTCTGCAGCTCCTTCAAAGAGCTACCTTGCGGACCAGAAACTTGTTTAAAAAACAAACAGTGATTTGCCACAGCATCCGTGAAACAAACAATTAGCATGTATAACTTTGTAGTGATAAAAAGTGAACCACACAATGGCAAAATGAGCTCTGGAAACGTTAAATTAATGAAGCAGACAACAGACATCCCTGCTGGGTAATTTAACTGAGTCTTAGGCTCTGGGACTCCATATTAATGTACAATAACCAGTCTCTCTGCGATACCTTCTTTTTTGCTTCAGCCCTCTTTAAAACCTCATGACCTTACCGAATTATGCTGTTACAATGTCCACAGAGAGGAGTTCGGCTGCTGGCTGGAAAACGCTCAGCTCTCTGAATTGTTCCCCGGGCTACTGCAGGAGCTTGGGAAGAAGCTGAAACTGGAGGTGGGTAAGCAGAAGTTGAGGCTGGAGATGGTACTGGAGCACCCCGTGGTAGGATGTTCTTGGTGACAGTGGTGGTGGTTTTTCCAGGTGCAAATTTCTGGGAAAAGGAGTCATCTGTTACCCACGGAGGGCGGCTTGCAGGCTCAGCATTGGCAGGGGTGTAGGAATGAACCGGTGCTGGTGCTGTTTTAAGTATCCCAAAAGAAACCAGTAAGTATTTTAGTTTATTTTCTTCTGACAGCAAAACAGTAACACCTATCAAAGGGTACTACTCCATGACACAAAAGCCTCAGATGACATTTAATTATTGTCTGTCCCATTATCACTCATTAATTCTGGACTGAATCCAAGGATATCAGCGCAATCTCTGACTTTTTATCCACATGCATCACAGAAATCTTTGCCTTCTAGCTTTTACGGAATTGACCATTTTCAAGGACGCCTCATTGTTCCTGTAATAGGAACGGATGTAATAATTTCAAAGGCTGCCATCTGATCTGTTTAAGATCTGTTTAAAAATAGAGATGCCAGGTCATGTAAGGAAGCGTTAGACAAAGTTTCCCATAATTTTAGTAAGTTGTGCTTAAATTTTGACCTGATTACATTGGCCTAAATGCAGGGTTTTCCACAGACATCACTATCATCTGTACTTTATATACAGCTTCATTTCTAGGTTTCTGAAGTAAAACAGGCTCACACAGGGAACACAGAGATAGAGAGCACTGGAAGCAACACTCAGGGAGCCAGTTCAGCTCACATGACCAGCAAGGCAAAGCCAGCAGCACCTAGAGGCAGGCCAGGCTTGAGGTTTTGACTGATCTCAGTTCAGTTCTTGGCTCTGCCACAGACTTCCTGTATGACTGTGAGCAAAGTGTAGTATCTCTGCCTCAATTCCCATGTACAAAATAGAAAATTATACTTCCTTTCTTCTGCCCTTTGACTATCATGTAAAATCTTCAACGCAGAAACTGTCTCTGTATTTGTATGCACCAGGCTCTGATCTTGGGTGGAGCTTTATCATATAAAAATAAGCAGAAGCTAAAGCCGCCTGTACATACCAAAGTCTTCCTCTTACCCTGCTCTTTTCAGAACGACAGATATAACGCTGCGTAGGACTGAAGTTACTGCTAAGTAATTGCCTCCCTTTGCCAAGTACAGGAGCTCTAAAAAGGAGTTTTTCCTTTGCAAGTGAATAATTGTCAGTCTTTGCGAGGAGAAACAGAAGCTGGAAGAGTTGAAGTCTTTTGGCCAAATGAGAGAGAGAGAGAGAGAGAGAGAGAGAACAGATTTGGGAAGAGAACCCAGGCCTCCTGCCCTCCAGGCAAACACTCTGCATAGCAGATCTCTCAGCCAATAAGACGATGGGCAAATACAGGATTTAATATTTTAAGGGGACTGTAGGTAGAAAGGTGTTTCAAGCAAGAAGAGGTTTCAGACTGTAACACAGACCTCTCAGGATAATTAAGCGGTGAGAAGATTATGTACTACTTAACGCTCCTCCCTTGGCCCACACCCTGCCGAACAGAATAGCATACACTTATTATTGGGCATTACAGATGCTTAAATTGCACATATATCAGATCTACTGCGATCACCCTAGTGATCGCCGATTGTCGTCTTTTTACCGGGTTCAAAATTGAATCTAACGCATCTTCTTGATAATTTTTGTTTATACTACAGCATCAACAAATTTTCTGCTTCATAATCCTGTATTCCCACCTTAGCTTGAAGCTTCTTTTTTCACTTGGGAACGGTAAACGATGTTTAAAGATTTCAGAGCAGAGAGTTTATATCCAATCTCTTTAAACCCTGGGGCAGTTGCTATTTAGGTATTACTGTATTAAGCCAGTCAAAAGTAGAAGGCAATATTTCATCTCTAGTTGGCGAGTTCAAAAGGCTCCCACCTGTGAGGCTCTGTAATTAAATATGGTGACTTCTAGCTCATTCAGCTTTGTGAAGGGATTCTCCCTCCCTCAAAAGCCAGTTGTTGTTCTTGCAAAGTGTGGCAGTGTATTCCGTGGAGGACCTAACAAAATGCTCAGATGGTCAAACCCAGACTTCCATAACTGAAGAGATGGCGCAGTCCTTGTGGACAGTTCAGATATCATTTTTAGGATGTCTTTTCCTATGATTGCCTTCAGTAAATTCAACTTACAAGCTTACAACCTCTTAGTTTTTAATTTTTTCTTCCTTATTCTCATAAAGAGTATCAGTGCTTTGTTTTGCTTTTACCGCTTGGTCTATTCTAACCAGTTTAGATAGCACATGATTAATTTGGGTTCAGACTAATCTAGACTCCTTTGTCGAATAAAGTCTGGGGGTGGGTCTTTCTCTTTCATTCTCTCTACCTTCTTCCCTTTCTTTTTCCCTTTCTATCCTATCCATTTGCCACTGTAAAAAGATACCAATAAAGTACATCTTTTCCAGTTGCTGAAAGAAGATGCCAGGGGTATTACTGCAAAATGACAAATATCGGACGTTTGCAACTGCTCTGAGTTCTCTGTATTAACTAATTTTTCAGCTATTATCATTTAATTTTAAAAGCTGGATTTATTACAACATATTTTCCCAATGTAAACAGGCTGGAATTACTATTGATTTCAGATAGCATCATCGCAATGCACTAGAACTGCCTCACTAACTTTAACGTTTTAGCTATGCTTATTAGAAGGGAATTACTATCTTATAGCTGTATTCCTAAGCTTATATGAACAACTCTAGCTACCGCCATACAAACGCACCTTACATGTTTATGTATTTCAAAATCGCCCAGCACACACAGAGCAGATAAAAGGAGCTGTCTGCTGCTAAAAAGGACTAGATTCAGTATATATCAGAGGACAGAGTCTCAAAATAGCAGCCCTGTATCAACTGACCCATAGCTGTTCAAAAATAAATACTTTAAAAGATTCAGTAACTCAGCCTCTACCACTCTGTTTCCCTTAGGCCTCTGCTTCTCCTATAGTAAGAGAGAAAGAATGGGTTTTATTGTTATCTTGAGAGCATGGTAGAAGAGGTCTCACTTAACAGCCATGGGAACAAGCTGACTCTCTGCTTCCAAGGGATCTGGAATTTTCCCCTTCAGATCTACGGTCCATAGATATTTTCCTGCCAGAAAAAAGGCAGGTTTCCAAAGAGCAAAATAAAGACTCATGTAGTCTCAAGTGCTTTAGTCTTGCCTCTTACATTGCACTGTGAAAACAATTTCCCAGTTCTTTTGTCTGTTAGAAGAACACAATTGTTATTCTTAGTAATAATTTTCCAGTAGCAAATGCAATTCATAATTACAGCTGATGTGTTTTGTTTGATACTTATGGCCTCATCCTTGAATACATAGATTTTGCTATGTACTGTTCCAGTTTATAGTGGATGAGAAACCAGGTAACGCAACACAGCCCTTGTACGCATTTATAAGAAGACACAATTCTTATTCAGAAGACTTTACAGTATTAGGTGGCGGCACATAACCTGCTATTTTAGTCTTGAAAACGTTTAGGATCCAGTGAAAAGTTGAGATCTGTGAGAATTTTTCCACCGATTTCTAAATGGGTGGATCAGGCCTTCACACTTGAGCACTTTTATATACATGAGTAGTCCTATTTGGACCTAAGGATTTAAAAGGAAAGATCTCCTTTCTTGCTTTCAGCTATCTTGTTGCTTTGTAGGATGAAACTGGCATTTAGGTTGCTTGCAGTATATGCAGGCATTATTCCAATCTGGGAAATGATACCATGGAGGAAGATGCAAGTATGTCCTGCCATCTAGTGGACTGCGTTCAGAAAAGAAATCTATGGGCCTTTTAAGAACAGGTTATGAAATTTGGAGGCACACAGAAGGGAAAAGATTTCAGTTTACAGCTTTCCCTGTAAGTACAAAGAAAGAGATTTTTAGCAGCAGAAAATTCTCAGTAGAATTAGACTGGTCAAAGTGCTTCCTCTTTGCTGTACAGTGTAGATGTACTGATTACTCCCATATCAGCCAGATATTCAGCGGCCATACAGCAATGCAGTTTCCTCTTGAGATCGATTCCAGTGTAAACAACATTTTGCCCCGTTATTTTCAATCTGAGAAAGTCTTTTAAATCCTCCTGGTTATTACTGACTGACTCAGGTTATTGCATATATGGGGCTTCTGGTGGGTGTTTTAATCTGGAAGTTGCTTGCACAGTTTTTTAAAGGAAGTTAGGCCCCTCGTTTCCATTAACACTGAGGGCTAGCATACAGGAATCCCTCTTCTAAATTCTCCATTGCAAAGCCTGAACTACTATTAAGCTATAAACCTGCACTACTAATCTAGCCTGCACTAGCAACCTGTGCTATTTCAGCCTTTGCACACAGTGGGTATACAAAAATGGAAGTCTAAGAAATTTATTTGCTAAAGTGAGGGTGCAGTTACTGCACAAACCTCTGGTTGCAATTTAGACTGGAAGAAAAAGATGGATTTTGTGGTCTCATATGTCACCTTTTGAGAGTAGCTGGCCCTCTCTCGGACTGAGACTGCTTTTTATGCTTCTGGACAGAATTTACATGCATTGGCAAAGTTGGATAAGGAGGTTTTCTAACTGCTCTAGATGGTGGCTTGTTTTAAAAAAACTACTGATCTTTCCAATCCATTGACGACAGGAAATGCTGTTTCCTGCATTTCTTCCCAAGTGATAAATTCATGTTTGCTCAGTGCAACTGGAATAGGAACTGCAAGTGTCTTTAGAGCCAGTTCATGTTCCAAAACTGGTATGCAGTAGTACAACATCAAATATACAACATACTTTAAAAAGCTACCAAAAACAAGACACAAAAATCTTTGATAAAATCTCTTCCTGTAATCTCTTCTGTACTTGAGTCAGTCTGGGGTTTATTAAGGAGATATGTTTAGATCCCCTATTGCATATCTCAAGCTCCTACACAGTAAGGGAGACTTACTGTTCCTTTCTCTGCCAGCTTTAATGTTATTCATGTTTTGTCTAATATATCATTTATACACTGTTCTGGATTTTCTCCTGTCCGCTGGAGTACGTTATATCCTCGCAGCGTCCACATCATCAAAATTTTCCCACAAATTCATTTCTGTGCAGGTTTGCATATTGAAAACTGGAGTTACACTTCCCCCAACCGAGTATGCAGTGTAGTATCAGTTAGTTTACTGAGCAGATATTTTTCACTTGCTACCTAGTTTGCTCCGACAAAAGTAACTCCATCTGGCTTCAGTGAGAATATTGTACATGCTGGCAACACACAACCAAAAGCAAATGAGGAGAAGCTGAAACCTTTATTGAATCTGAGACCCCTAAGTAGCTTAGTATAACTCTGAGCTATGAGCTGGGTTTTTCCACCTTTATATCTCAAATACAGAGATCAATCAATTGATCAGTATGTCTGCTTCATAACTAAATGAAATTTCTGCCTTGATTCCATTCCAGTAGGTCAAGAGATAAAGCACTGCATGAAAGGTAAGAGTTTGAGATTGTTGAGACTTGGTTGGCCTTTTCACATTTACTTGACTATCAAGCTGTAAATCAACTTTTAAATTCTCTTGCTAAGATCAGAATAAGTTTAATTTGAAACAGAATTCATTTAGACTTATATTGCTGCCTCATTTAATTTGGTCATTTTGAAGGTTCATATTTTGGTCATCAATGGTTTTGGAAGTTCACTCCATTTGTAACACATTATACAAAGGGAATTTAAATAACATCAAGGAGCATATTTCCACATGAATGAATAATCAAATATATTCCTTCAGTAATTGGATCTGTGGGAAATGGGAGCATAGCATTACAAAGTACTTTAATAGGTCATTCTTTATTCCAAACATAAAACTGAGTTTGAGAAGTTCAACATATGGCCTTACCTATTTTGCAATATAACCTACTCAAGCTACCTTCACTTATTTCATCTCCTTCCTGAGATGTGCATTCTTAAACTGTTTTATCCATACTGAAGTGTCCCTGGATTGCTAATTGGGTGCCCTAGGTTATTCTGCAAACGCATTTCTTTTTGAAAAGGCAGACTACACATTTTTCGTACAGCCTTTTCCCTTGCTTTTCTTCTTCCTCCATCTATTCCACGTATTCACCTCAAAGCAGAACATAATCTTGAGATAATCTCAAGCAAAACTCTAGCAAACCAATAGCATTTGGTTCCTTGCGTCGAATAAGTCTTTCCTGACACGTGTGTCCTGTAATAAAAATCTGCATTTTCTTTACAAAAACCTGTCCTGAATCCTTTCAGAAATTGAAGTCACCTTACCTGGCTGGTAGACAGAGGGTTTTATGCTGGCAGTAGTGACAACCCTTGGTTTTGAAGCAGCAGCAGAAGCAGGACTTTCACCGTAACTTGCAGAAACTGGTGTTGATGCATAGGATTGGCTTGTGTTTCTAAAAGCAAAATGAAGCTATGAGCAACTTTATAAACAGCAAGAGTTATTACGAAATCAAGAGATCTGGCAGCTTCCATAGTACCCCAGGGGTGCTGTCCTTCAGAGCTACAGAGAGAATACTGCGCTATTCATAAGGTTTCAGCATTGGTAAGGAAGATCGACTATTCTCCGGAAAGAAAAACTGGCTGAATAATGAATTTAAATAATCCAGAATTGCTCTTCTTGTCATGGACGATAAGTCCATCATATCCTTCGGTAAGTTATTAAAAATATTCTCAGTTTAGCAAGGGATTGCACTTCAGGAATATGCGTACTACGTTTGCATTTTCTGTCCTTTTACATACAAACAGGCCTGCTCTGTTCTAAATGAAATCAATGAGAGATTTCTTGATGACTTAAAGATACACTGGCTCAAAAGCACAATATATAGAATTTCATTGCTTCTACTGATGTGTACAAGCATTATACTGTTTTCAGAAACATTGGAGTACCCTTTGAAAACCATTTCTGAAACTAAAACTTTTCCATATTCAGACTGAGACCATAATTTACATTAATTTTTCTCATGTTTGGATTCAGCTAATCCAAATCCTGTGATATGCAATATTATGATTTCATTTCTGTGTTCATGGATTAAGAACCTTTGCTCAGGGTTCGAAACATCACTAAGGATTTTTTTTTTCCTCCATCTTATGGCTCAGATAGTGATTCTCCGTGTGATTACCATAGAACCTAGAAGCGTATGCCTCTTCTACTTGCCTATGACTTAGCATGATTCTGTTTGTCATAACTTTCCTTCATAAACTGCTAAAAGAGCACCACAAGCAAAGAAAGGAAGAGGGAATAAAAAAGTACAAGGAAGGGAGGCAACAGAGTGAGATTTGGGTTTTCTGCAGTAATAAAAACGTTTCAGTACTGAACATCCTTCTTACTCTCCCTAATACCATACTGTTTTCTTTTGTTTTGTTTTGTTTTGTTTTTCTTTTTTCCCCCCTTTCAGTCCCATCATTTCATTGAGCCAGATCCCTATCCATTTGTTGTGAAAGGTTTAGGAGTTATGTCCATGGTGACTTTTTCTATAGGAGAATGTTTGTCAGCATAAGAAAAGAAAAAATGTCCTGGCTTCGCCAGACCAATGGTCCGTCTCGACGGCTACTCTTTCTCCAACAGTGAAAATAGATGCTGTCCGGGGAAAATATATTATAATTTTTACATATAGAAAAACCAGCATGTTCCTTCCAGTACAGGTAAGGCATGCTGGCAAACGGGAGCTTTTGAATTTTCATTTTGAACAAAACAAACCTGTACTGACGACGTAGCTTTTTGCTACTTTGACAGTGCTTACAGTAAAGATGCAGTTTGCACAGCATTGCTGCCTCAGGCTAATTTATTTTGTCTATTTAGTTAGACCTAGCAATGTAACTATTGCTATAATGACTATAGTTATTTCTATACCTAGTCCAGGGCTGTAACCAAGTGGATTTGGGTCCACTGTGCCATGAGCGGACAAGACTCTCATAAAGGTAGACTATTTCAGTGGGTTTGTATTCACTGCAAGTTCTCTTCAGAACTGCGCCATGATTTTGTAACTGTCAAAGCTGTTCGACGTGCAATAGGACAGCTAGTGTTACCAGAAACAATATTCATTTTACCTTCCGCTCTTATCATCCATTTTCTGTTGACCTCTCCCCATATTAGAGTGCACTAGACAGAACATTGCTCCTTACTGTAGCACAGACAGGAAGAGGTACGCTGGGCTTGCATACCGCTTTCAAAAGGCCTTTAGCGGAAATGCACGCTATCTAAAGATTTTTTTATTGTTTCAAAATCTACTCTTCAAGGTAAATTAGGCCAAAATCCAGTAAAATATACTTACCTTTAGAGGATCAGTGGTCAATATTTACTATGTGGATTAAAAGTTTTTAAATAATGTGCATCATAAACCCTTAATTTGAAAATAGCATACACTTAGTAATGGCTACCCCCAGATATGCAGGCTCATTAGTCAAAAGACTCATTTCTAGGAGTTTTGATGCACAAAACGCATAAGGAAGTTCTTAGCCAGATTAACGATATTTAGACTGTCATGAAGAAAAATGGTTATTCAAAATTCAAGGGTTTTCCAAAGTTAACAGCATGATAAAACCATGCGACTAGATTTCCTTGTACATTCAGGGAAATTAAGTTGAAAACAAAAACAACAACAAAAAAAATCAACAAAAAATCATTTTCAAAGTACCAAAATCATCACAAAATTAAAGAGGTCAACTACTGAACTCTTTTACAAGTCAAAGTAATAATACATATTAAATATAGTGAGGAAGAGGAAAAAGGCTCCTCAAAGAGAAATAAAGCATTACACTACATCATTAAGGAGTTTAGTGAAGTTAAGTCAGCCGTCAAAAGATTTATCAGAAACAATTTCTTCTAAAGAAAAGGAAATAACAGGTAACAACAACAAAAAATTAGTATGTCTGAAGGACTGAAGATGCTTTAATGGAAGAGTAAACAATGGCATCTCAAAAAGCAATGAAAGCACCCTTAATGAATTTATCTGTAGCAGCCAATGGCAGGTGAGATGCAGCAAATTAAACACTGGCTCTGAAAATTATTAGTTGCCAGAAAGAGTAAATATTTCTAAGCAGATCGTTTTAATGTTAATATTTCACTAGATGTCTGCTGGCAGCAATAAACTGGCTTGTTAAGTACTTTTAATGTACAGTAGCTGCACAAAATAACACTTTTAAAACTCTTTGACTGGTAGCTGATGGAGGTGGAGGGATGCCGGTTGAAACTAAAATGAGACAAAAGTTGTATTTGAAAAGAATGTATCAAGAAAACTGGGGTATCTTGTCCTGCAATGCATTTCCTTATGAATAAGAAGTACACTTACTAAGCGCTAAAGTAAATGACTATTTTTTTTTTTTTAAGGATTTAAAATCATTTAAGATTAGTATTATATTACATTCTGCTTATCTGCTTTAAACTAGGAATCATATTGAAACCTGAATAAAGGGGAACAGAAATAAGTGAGCTGACTATATTGCTCTGTAAGTCACTCTCTCCAGTTTTGCTAGTTCTTTAGTTGTGGAATTCTAATTCAACCTCTGGACGGTATGCTTTGGCATTCACAATTTATTTATATTAGCACAGAAAAATAAGCATGAATATGTTTTTGTCGATGCAATAAAAACTTAAGCCACGTCAAATCTTAGAAGCCAATCCTGAATCAACCAAAGCCTGGCTAAATTTCCAGGTTAACTATGGGGCAGCAAGGACAACCCCACAGAAAGGACAAGTAGAAAGTATTAGAAGCAACTGCATCAAGCTGCTGTGTTCAACTCTTTCCTTTCAAAACTACTCTACTGTGCATATACTAAACGGTCTTAGGTGGATAAGTAGATTTTTTTCTTGGGGAAACAGCATCATTTCAGGACATGAAGGATTCCTTTATGTAAATACAAGAAGTACATACAGGCTTGCACAACGTATGATCCGAGAAGCAAGAGGAATCCGAATGAATGCAGCTCCTGTCTAAATGCACAGTGCAGAGCTGCACAGCAAGAATCGCATCCCACAGGAGCACAGCCTGCACTTGTCAGAATTATCAGGAGGACCCTATCACATCCCAGTGACTTCTTTAACTTTGGGAGAAGAGTTGTTCTTCCCCTTACCACAGAAACACAGTGCTCGGATTAAAATCCTAGACCGGAACCTACACCTTCCTTTTAGAGCTATAATCCTAACTAACTCCATTTTCTCCTCCTGCATTTATATTCCTGGAGTGCTGCCTCACTGGTTGCCCTGCTTTTATCCTCCAGGTGGAATAACCAATTGCATAAAGAGCTTCGTGGCTCATTTAAGACTCCTGCTGTGCTTTCTCCTTTGTAAGTAAGATTGTAAGTGAAAAAGTAAATTAACACTGCAGATTTAAAAATAAGGGAAACAGATGATCAGTTAAGGATTAATGACATACTTTAAACATTCTTCTTTAGGAACACTACAAAGATTTTACACCATGCTAGGTGTTATGAGTACAGTCTTGCTCACAAAAGCAAAATCACTATAGAATTGGTCTACCCAAGTTTAAAATCGGATCAATTAGTTCAGGATATTGATCAAGAATTTCTCCAACATTTTCTTAGTGGACCTTTTTAAGGTATCTAGAAAGGAAAAAGAAGCAGTGGACCAATGGTGGCAAAATCTCAGGCCCACTCTACCTGAGTACGTTCTACAGGTTGGAGGTACTGCTATAATTAAGGCTGTCCATGTTTAATTTTGAACTAAAAATTATAGGAACTACTACAATTTCTCAATGGTATATGTCAAAGACAAAATTAGACTTTTAAATTTGTATTTTGGCATGCAAAACCCTATTTCTAAATGAAAACTATCAGATGCTCAACCATTTGAAATATAAATGAACTCAGGGGCCTAAAACTGGCCCCTGGTTTTTGAATGCATAAAACCATAAAACTGGTTTTTGAATGCACTACCTATAACATCTGACAGTTTAAAACAAATAAACAAGGAAATAGTGCGCCAAGAAAGAACCAGCCACAGTTGCAGCACAACCCTCCAACAACAGATAAAACAAGTTTGCTGCTTGTACCTCATCTTCACGGAGCCAACTGTATGCAGGTCCTCCGAGTTTCTGATTTGACCGTATGTCCCAGAGCTTGTTGCATTAAAATCATAGCATTTGCCTGCTGATAACAACCTGAAGCATGTGCCAGCATGATATCTGTGTCTAACCTGTTGTCCTGCCTGACTGTTTGAAGGCTGAAAAGGTTTTCCCCCTTATATCCAAGTGAGAATCTCTCTTGTATGCCTTGGTATTAGAAGGCTGCTGTTAGCTCCCCTCCCACACCTCACCCCAAATCCGTCTCTTCTCCAGGCTAGACGAGACTAATTTCCTCAGCCTCTCTTCTCAGGACAACTGCTCCAGCCCCCGATCATCGTGGTGGCCCTCCACTGGAATTGTTCCAGTTTAATCAACATCTTTCATGTATTGGGGGAACCAAAACTGGACACACTCTTCCAGATGCAATCTGCGACTGCTGACTAAAGGGATAATCACGTCCCTTGATCTATTGGCTCTGCTCCCGTTAATACAGCCCGGGGAAGCTGCTGGCCGCCTTTGCTGCCAGGACACGCTGCTGGCACATGTTCAGCTTTGCTGTCTACCAAGACCCCCCGGTCCACTCAAAGGGGCAGAAGAGAGTAAAATGATCCATGCCATTCAAATGCATGAGATAAAAGCCATTTCAATTGAAAAGAAATTTTAAAAATTCAAGGTGTTCTGGTTTATCTTCCTTACTGATTCAAATTGTGATTTTGTAAGGTGCTGTTTGCACCAGTACGTTTCACACTCACTAGTCCACATGGACACATAACTACAAATTAATTTATTACTGTAAACGAATTTATAGTTTCAAGGCCTCATCCTGCTTCCTTCTTCCAAATGAAAGGGATGCAAAATAAAAGTGAAAAGGACAAAGGCTCAAAAGAGAAATAATATTATCCTAGGGCTAAAATAACGATGCAATTAGTATCAATAAATGATAGGTATGTTTATACTAGTTTGAGTTGCTTATATGTAAAGTATATGTAATATTGATTACATGTCTTCACCTTGTCAGACAACTTCACAGAATAATAAAAACACACTCCAAAGGAAATTTTGTTTTATTTCAGAAGTAAACCCATTTCTTAGAACTGGAAAATTTATATTTTTGACATTTAAAAAATGTGGTGTCTTCTTTAGCCTTCCCCTTATATCCTCCTATTCAAGATACTCAGAAACAGAAATTGGCAATGAGTAATAAAGTACTCTTCAATTTTATTGAAGTGTAAAAACTCCTTTGAACTACAGGATGAGCAATGAAATAAGCCTGACTACAATTTTACCCATGGAGTCCTAAAAGTGAATTATGCAATGTATTTGTGATTTATCTTTGTTTGCCTCCAAAATTTTTCATTAAATGACAGTCTTCATTATCGGGTTATCTTTTTGAAGAAAAAGAACTAGTACCATTTTTTGTGTGAAACCAATGTTTAGCCGAATGAGAAATGCATATAATTACAGAAATAAAAAGTACTACCATGAAGGCTTCAGAGACCTATTAGCTATTATGTGTAATTGTCAAGGAAGCCGAGAGAATATCTAAACAAATCTCTTCTGCAGGTATGTAAAAATATAACCATCACAACAGGATTGGCATGTGTCCTACGGTACGGACTGATGAAACATGATTAGATGCCCTCTGGCTTGCCAAAGTGGTAACCTGGGCTTCAGTTTGTTTTCGTGTTCTAACTGATGGATGTATTTCAGTCCTGAACTCAGAGGAATGCTGTAAATGAATCTCTTCTATAGCTCAAAGAAATAAATAGGTTATGCATGCCTGTGTTATAAACAAGCTCAAATATGCCCAATTATTGTTCCTTATGAAGTAAGGGACTTTCTTTGGTTATAAGATGTTTTTATCAGTCTCCTACAAGAACCATGTAGGACGCTCGTTTCATACAGATATGTGATCGTTCCAATTTATTAACAGAGAGATTTGGGAAAAACAGCACGGGGTAAGATATCCACATTTAAGAGCCTAATAAGAGCACAGAACTGAATGAAAATGCAGTATAAGAATTACTTTTGAAATGCACTGAGCCCTCAATTTCAAAATTATTTGAATTTTATGTTGGACACACACACACACATAAGGAATTCCCTAAATAACTTATCAATCTTGAATCTTGCAAGTTCACACATGAAGTGAGATGTCAATGACAGTAAAAAGACCCTTGCAGGACCTGCTATTCTATTCTTACCTTCTGTTCTTGCCGATATTCACTAACTTCATAGTTTAATTGAAAGTAAGTTATGATTAGCGTACTTCCACTCAAACAAATGAAATGACACCAGCAGTTAGTTTTACTTCTTAAGTTTTAGCATCTCCATATGGAAATTACAAAAACAAAACAAAGCCAGGTTTACATCCTAAAAATCCAAATTCTATTCTGTTCTATAGCCTTTCATTTCTGAACTGGTTTCAGTGGTGTGAAGCCATCTGAAATACTTTCAGATGTATAGGTGCGCATAGCTTTTTCCTGCTGTTTTCTATCATACTCTTGAGAAGGATCATTGCACTTTTTGGATTGTTGCCTTCAAACTTAACGTGCTTTGTTCAAGTCAAACAGCACCGCTGGGTGATTCTTAACTGCCTTTTTATATTAAGACAAAAAGAGACATGGATAATTATTATCGCAAATGTAGTACTGACTCATAGCCTCTCACTGTTTTTGCTATGCTTAAATAATGAATCTTAAAATCTGCTGTTTTTTCCTTTGTTAGTCTTGACAAAGTGTTAATGAATAAAAGCAATGAGAAAGCTTCGCAGTGAGACAGCAGAACAGTATTCTTTGTTTCTAGTGATAAATCTACCTTTCCCTATACCTCGGACTGTTGCTAGTCACGACTTAAAAGCATAATAAAAGAAGGTCCATGATTCTTTGAAAATGCAGCAGGTTGCCAAATTATGATCCTGTGTTCTCACCAAGAAAAAAATAAAATAAAATTTGTCATCGTCACCCATCCTCTCTAGACAAATATTTTTATTTTAAGATGGCAAAAACAGCACAAGCCAACTGACTGGAGTACCTTTGTTCAGAAGAGATCTTTTAGTCATATATTTTAAGTCTAAAACTTCAGTTTTTTTCTAGCTCAGGTTTCATGTGAAAGATTAAACAAGAAGGCTGCTCCATTAAACATGCCACAATTTTCAGTGATCTCTGCCAAGCCAACCTCTTCAGAAGCTGTAAACTTTAAACTGGAGAGAATAATACCAAATAAAAGCAAGTTTAGTAAAAAGAAAACAAAGAGAGCTGTACAAATATACCTAGACTGAGATGAGATAGCAGATGAAATAGTGGAAGCTGCTAATGACATGTTCTTGGACCCAAGAAAAGGCTTAGGTCGTGAGAAAGAGCTGGGGGCTGCAAGCACTCTGCAGAGGACACAGTAAGAGCATGAAAGCATATACCAAATAATTTTACAGGAATAAAAAAATAGCGACATCAAAACTGAGCTTTGCCCGAGTTCAGACACAAGAGGACTGCTGCACAGTTACCAGCAACACGTGTTTCCTGTGACATACCTCTGAAGACTTACAGAATAGCATAACCATGCACATCCCTACAGAACACAAGACAAAACGTACACATTATGCAAAATTTTTAAACTAGAGTCTGTTGGTAATGAAGGAGGACAATGTTTCAGGACAGAACCTTTGTCAGTGATGCGTGTTTTTACCTGCAAGAATTGAAGAAGATGTTTGTGTCTGAACTCAACCTAAGATTTTAATATGCAAGCAGTACCAGACTGAAGATTCTCATATTTAATACTTTTGTGATCAGTAAAGGAAAGTCACTGGCATGATTAGTTGAATAGGGTAATTTTTGAGGCCTATATTAGATAGTCCATTTTCTTCACATTACTGTTTAACCTGAGGGCTAAAATTACTTTAAACTATAGAGTTATTTCATTCAGAAGTGCCTTTCAACACAGTTCAGAGTTGCTGTATAATACCTTTTATTTGAACCTCCTTCGCTGGCTGAATGTGTGACTTTCTTGAACTGGAAAAAAATACTGGAGTCCAGTAGGCCACGGTTAGGAAAAAACTGACTGAAGTGAGAACCGACTAGCTGGTATACATAAACATTTTAAGTGAATTGGCAAAAACTGAACAAGAAATAGAGGCCAAGACAATACTTCCAAGCAAATTACACAACTCTTAAGATACCACAGAGCACATCTTAGGTGTCAGTTATTTAAAGCAATTGTCAGTTATTTAAAGCAATTTATGTTACTGAAGATGTGTCTTCTCATTCAGCTTTTAAAATATGCTAAAATATATACCTTTTAAGAATGTTCATGTAGCAAGAAGTATAACAAGGAAAAAAAAAAACGCCCAAAGTGAATTCATTCTTACTCCTTCAATAATTACTATAACATAAATGACAACTGTACAAATTCCATCCATTTCTTCACAGATTGAAGAGTCCGATTACCTCCGATATACAGCTGTAACTCCTACTGTAATACAAGTGTATACAAATGCATAGAGCTAATGTGAGTTTAAAAGAAATATAGTTAAATCTCACAAAAGAAAAACAAGAGTAGATAAAATCCAATACAATTAATTGGCTTAATACCTTAGAGATCAGTCAATCATCAAATATGTAGTTGTCCTGAAATATTGCTCAGTTTATCCTGTTCTACTCAAATGTGCTACTATATGGTATAGACTCAATCACGTGATTAAATTACATGTTGTAATTTTTCTTTTTGCACCATGCTTTAGAAACTCTACTACAAGAGCTTTCATTCACCCATTGTAATTACTGTGAGGATATATAGATATATATTCTTTACTAGTTGTGAAAAAGTCATTTCAATTTTTAACCCCAGATGTGCTTTTTGAAAATGTAAACTATATCCCAGACATTAAGCCATTTTTTCTTATTTTTCTGGGAAGCTTTATTTTGCAAACATAAACAACACACTTCAACTTAAGAAACAATACCAAAATATATAAAAGCGTACAAACAGGCTGCAGCTCTTACATACTACATTCTTAAGAACGTGTATGCAGCATTTCCAGAGCCATACAGGGGTACATCTGCGAAAGGACAAAGCAACAAAGCTTTACCTTTGGAAGGAGGACGAGAAGGACTCTTGCACTACTGAAGTGGGAGTGGTTGCTGGCGGAGTCATCAGACTGGCTGGATTTTGAGCAGCAGTAGCAGGCTGATGCGATGAAGCATGTGGCGCAGGAGCAGAGGCAGAGCTGGTAGACACTGGTGCATGCTCAACAGGGGTACTAATTAGAGTTAAATTAAATAAAACAAGAAGCATTTTAAAAAGGTGCTTATTTAAATGTAAAGCTTAAAACCTACTATGTTTGAAGCTGCAAACATAGTAGCAGGCTGTGTTATTGAGAGAAAAGCACAGTAATACAGAGTAAGACGACATTTGTTAGGCATTTTTGGATGTGCAGTTAAGAGAGCAAAGCAGTTTCGGTCCTGCTCGACTGAAATTTATCCCAGGTGTTATACAGCACTTAAGTCCTGCTCCCACTGAAGTCAGAAACTTGTGGCATGCATTACGTAGATGGCTGCATAGAGCCTACTGTTACTCTTTGAATTAGGATAAATTTCATCCAATGTTTAGTCCTGGAGCTGAGGTTCACATTAGGAGTATATCTTTTAATTAGATGAAGAAAAGCAGTTTAAAGGATATTGTTATAGTCATATTAAGGCAAGTTCTGATAGTCTAGAAATCCAGTCAGCAGAGCTTTTGTTTTGGGTTTAATCAGTTTTGTGCAATATATGTAATGGAAAGTTCTTTTTAAAAAAAAAAAAAAAAAAAAAAAAAGCAAACCACTGATTGTTTATTCATCTCTGCCCTAAATTCACCACAAATTATATCAGTTAACTAGTCAAACAGTTACAGACCTTTATACACCTGCAACATACAAGGGGAAAATGTAGGGCAAAGTTTTACTGCACAAGCTTTAAAACCACTTGGATGATGAAGACCAGAGTTGTTATCCTTATGCTCCTCTAGTGGCACAGATGATATGGAGCACAGAAACATTAACGTTCAATTTAATTTCGCTTTATTTGATTGCGAAATGGATTTATTGGGAAAAAAAAAAAATCTAGTCTCACATCCTGTGACTATTTTAGTAACCTACTATAATACTAATATGTCTTTCATCACCTGTTATCTGAGCATCCAGTGCTCATTAACATATTTTAGCCCCACGGCCTCACTGGGATTTGGAAAGTATTTCCTATCTCTTACAGATAAGTAAATGGAGCAAAGTTGATTCATTAAACAACTTCCCCAGGATAACAGTGGATGACTGATTAACTAAGAATTGAACCAATCTTTCGGGAGGTTCAGTCTATTGTTTTCAACATCGGATGGATAATCATATATTTAACCTGCAAAAATCCAAGTTCTTCAATTAATGTTTCAATGAATTGGATACTAACAAAAGGAGAGTAACGTGCACATTCATTATGTTGAATGTATCTCTAGTTGTTAATAAATGAAATAAAAAACAGCTATATCATTTAGAAATACTCCACTAAGAGGAAAAAAAATGGCAGAAACAGGAAGAGACAAACTTAATTTGGTCTTTAGACAAATTCCATTGTGGATTTTTATCAGTCATTATCTACAGAACAAATAAGCCACGGAAAAGAACTACTTACAACTTGAGTTTTCAAGTTATTATACTGTTTTGGAAAATAAACTTTTCAGTGATAACATAAAGGGCTACTATAACCAGGCCTAATGGCCATGGTTCTTGATGTCATATTAGTGTGCTGTGGATTCATTTTCTTTTTTTTGTTATCCCACTACAACGTTTATTTTTAGTAGTAAAAAACATAGTTGTCCCCGAAGCATTGCTGTAAAGACACATTTAAAGATAACGGACGTATTTTAACTCCTTTTGACCTAACTCATAAGTATATTGCCAATCTTCAGGTTCTTACGAATTACTCCTATTGAGTTAATGGAATTAGGTGCTTCTCGTGTGATGTACGAAGAACGCCCAATCCCCTGAGCGCAGCAATGAGCAAGTACCAAGAGGCAGCTTACAGTTCCAAGACTGTTTTTCAGTCAAACTTTAGTTCCCAAATACCCTTTCAGTTGTTTTCTAGGTGATTTTGCCAGTGTTCTCCTTTGCCTTTCAGCCATTCTGTCTAGTATTTTCTTTTGCTTCTCTCACCAGAAACATCGATTCAGCAAGTTATACACCTCAGGACCTAGAAATAATGTTTGGTACATCAGAACCCATTACACCCCTTACTCTTCAAGGGACTATCCCATTTCCCCTGCCCTGCTCGTCTAACTGCACCTTCTTGTATGGTTTAGTAGTCTAAATGATGGTGCCTCTTATTTCAGCTGAACATTTTACCATTTGGTTAGCTGGAATCAGAAGAGTGGTTGTTATGCCCACTGATTTCAACAAAGTTTAATCCAACCTACAGTAAAAGCAGCAAATCACTATTTTGTCCTTTGAGTTTCATCTGCCATTATATACATAGCAACTGAGCTCCTGAAAATACTAACCTTGTTTACAATTCTCATTTTCAAATCAGTACACCTGAAGTCTTGCAACGGTTACACACACAGTTGTTCATCATAATACACATTGGGAATTCAGACCCACTTGTCTTTCTTGATGGTATTTGCATTATGTTGCAAATTCTTCTCCTTTACTTATTACAATATCAGTTATATAGACTATGTAGCGGGGTAGATGTATATTATACGCTAGCTCATAATCCATACCTGTGAGGTACTACTGAATTTTAACAAAAATGAATGCACGCAGGATTTGATTTTTTTTTTCTTTGCAAACAGTGGGAACTGGAATTTTCACATTAAAAGCTGTTGACTCAAAAATTTAATACTTACACACATCTGATTTGGCAAATATGAAAGAACAGAGACTATAGCATAAATAAAATAGTGCTCAGTGCAAGTCCTAAAAACAATCACAAACCAGAAAGACAAAATACGTGAAATTCTATTGCCATTGAAGTGAAAAGGAATTTGTTACCGATTTCAAAAGAATCAAGACTTCATACCTTAAATATCACCAAATAGTGAGGTTATTTAACAGTTGTAAAGATCTCTGAAATGTTAACTGAAAGACATACTCAGTGATTATTACATGAAGGGAAGGTAAGAACATGTGTGGACGTTGATCTATATATAGAGACAGATTGGAACTGGACGAACATAAATAAACTAAATGCAAACATACTGGAATACCTTCTTAAAGTTTAAAAAAAAAATTAATTTTTATATCACATGCAGTTTACAATGATTCTTTTTATGTGATTAAAATGTTAAGAGTTTGATCAGCTTCCTGTAAGGAAGAATACATTCATTATTTCACAGAAAAAAGAAGTGGTTACATGGAACACGCATAAATCTTAAAAATCAGGGGGAACTGGTTACATATAATGTCTGCTGGTGGTGACTAATTCGTTAATCAGTTTTACAGATAGAATTCATATTAATGTAACTATTCTTAGTTGAACCACTACAAATTTTGAACATTTAAATGAAATTATTTAAATAGTATAATTTAAATACTATTAAATATTTAATATTAAATTTAAAATATTTACATTAGAATATTTAAATGATTTTAGATTATTTAACTTAATCTCTTAAGTTTGATGCAACTGGTTCCATTTACTTCTGCTGAACATGTTCTGTATGAGCCCCAGGATTTGCGCAAGACAAACAAGCGGCTCCTCTGAAGTCAGTAAGAGTTACATCGCTGGTTTCCAAATAGTCAAAATTTCCTCTGTACAGAATTTCTATCTGATGTTTTTTAGTTCATCAGGTGCAGAAGAATTAAGAACTCATAAAGGCAAATACTGCTTTATAAAATGGATTATCTATTGTAACAGCTTCATTACAGGTACATTACAGGTATTTTCGTTCAGCTATTCTACACATTTTTAATCTTTACAGTATTTTGCGTTTTAAGGAAAATTAAAAGAAAACGTATGCTCTGAAATCTCTCTATATCTGTGGTAACAAAAAATCACATTATGCATTTAATGCTTAAAGTTATGTGGATGAAAACACACACATGTATTCTGTTGTTCTCGCTTCATTTTCACTCATGAAAAGGAGCACAGATCAGTAGAGGTTAAAAGGATGATAATGGTTAACAACCACGATGAGAAAACACAGCAACAAACACACACTAACATTTAAGAAAGTAAGTACAGATCACACTTCTTTATCTCAATGAAGTCCTAAGTTTCTGAGACTAACAACAATTGAATGTATTATTAAAGCTGTACTTAGTCTCTTTTACGTAAAAGATGAAGTCCTTTTTGTTTCAAATCTTCCAATAGATCTCTTGTAAAGAATTGAAAATACAGGTGACCAAAAGAAAAAAAGAAAAGAAAAGAAAATGCTGGAAAATGCATTTGGAGGAAGACACAGCATGAAATAGTTTTGAACTTGGATATGGGAATGTTTGTGTTTGTAAAACTACTGTCTAGGCCTATACTGAATATGATCAGCTGCTGCTTCCTTGCAGAAGGTGCTTAATGGCTGTTGTTGGCATACTGTAGGTGAAATCCTTAAGAGAGCCAATCCTTAAGAGAGCCATATAAAGTAAGAGTTGCTGGAATTTGTAGAACTTATACGTCTGCCTATCAGCAAACAGGATTTTCTGTGTCAAAGAGTTAGAGGATGTTATTACCAAATCATTCCAAAGCTACAAACCAGGTCAGTTATGCAGTTGCATGTCACAGTGTACCTTGGATTACCAGATGAAGAAAGAGGGATTTTCTGGCCAGTGCTGGTGAAACTAGCTTGCCTCTGACTTGTACCTGCTCCAAGCCTCACAGACCCCTTGGAGGCCACTGGCTTAGCACTGTCAGTGTTGGCATCCACCGCCTGTGACTTAGGATGCCAAATACTTGAGGTCACATACTGTGGCACATGAGTAGTAGTGGTAGGCCTGAGTAACAAAGATTACAAGGGGATTCGTACATGAGTTGTTTGTTTGTTTTTTTAAATTATGTCACTCATTTCCTAGGTAATAGAAGGTTTTTAAGGGAGAGAAAAAGAATTCCACCCATAAAGGTAGCTGGTGGTTTTAATGGAAAAAGGTTTGTATGAAATTTTTTAAAATGTTTTCAGAGATCCATGTGCATGCATGCTATCTACAATATCAGATAAAGCAGCATTTTAGAACATTAAGACCTGGCCCTTTAAAACAGCACTTACTGGTTACATGCAGTGAGGAAAGCCTTCAGAAAAAAAGAGCAACAAGGTACTGAACCTCGTAACAGAAAAGTCAGCTTAGCTCTAGGTTTAATAATAAAGGCTTCATTTTTCCATTTTGTTTTTCTGGAAGAAGGTTTATATCTGTAAACATCCAGTGTCCTCTATATGTATCCCAAAATCTTGTTTATCATAGGAGATCATGGTATTGAATCTGAAGTCATGACAAATTTCAATGGTTTATTAAGATCAAGAAAGGTTTTAAGAAATCAAGAAGACATGTACCCTGTGGTACCTATTTGTACTCATAATCTGGAAACTGTATTGCTGGAAATATCAAAATAAGACACACAGCTGAGCTGTGATGATAATGGAGGTGGAGAAAAGCTACTGTGTGACAAACCATGCAAAATGAAGGCAACATAGTGTGACACTAACACCAGTCATACATCAGAGATTGTTCCTGGTAAAATAAAATAAAATAAAATAAAAAATTCAGGGGATTCGCTCCATAATCCTGTGGACAGTTTTACACAAATAAAATCACTAGTGAAACGCTAACACTTGCTATTTGGTTTTTCAATTTTGCTTATATACAGTTGTTATTCAGGAATTAAGAGTTGCATTTCATTCTTTTCACATGACTCATTAAACAATCTTTTTTTAGTCATACTGTTCCAACGTAACACTCCTTGTGTCATTAGTGACGATAATGCTTGTACTTGGATTTTAGTTCTGTGCAACCTTTTGTTCAAAGGTGAGCAGTTTGAAAAAAAATAAAAAATAAAAAGTTGCATATTTCTAGGGAGGAATCAACAAGACTGAAGAAAGCAGTGAGGTAGATTTCTTTTCATGACATGAACTAATGAGAAGAATTTCTCTGCTCCATTGAACAACTGATCTACTTCATTCAAGAAGTATCTGCATTTCAGTATTTGTGTGTTTTAGTGCACGAGCTAAACTACAAAGTGCGCTGAGATTTTTCGGGTGAAAAACTGTTCAAATGAAAGAAAGTTACTTATGGAGATACTATCTTTTAAACCTCATAATCTGTCAATGTTCTATCAAACTAATCAAGGATCAGATATAGAAATGTACTTAAAATATCAAAAAGATCTACTAATTTAGATTTTGAAAACATCTTGAACAATCTAGACAAAGTTTAAAATGGAAATTGCTCCTACAACCCCCTCAAACTGTGATGATATTCCATTTCAAGAACATTTGATAAAAGCATCTTATTTCTCAGGTTATAGATTCTGAGGGGTTTGCTTTGCTTTGTTTTGTGTTTGAAGTCTCATAGTCTGCTCTCATCCCATAGAACTTTTTGAACTCTACATCAGAAAGAAATATCTAGCAAACCTGCTCAGTTGAAACCTCCATTATTAATCATCTGCTCCAACTGTGTATACATTTGACACATTTTGGGGATAAGAACATTATGGGGAAAGTGGGAGGTAAACTCTAAATGGGAAGGAAGCAGAACACACAGCAAACATTACCTGTTTTCTGATGCTGCTGCAACATTTTCCTTGCCTCTGTGAAAGGAGGGGACACAGTATGAATAAAGCTAGTGCAATTACCAGTGGTAGCAAAAAAACAGGGCAAAGGAGGATGGGTTGAGGAGAAATGTTTGGTTGCTGAAAGCATGATAGAGTGGTTGCTTACGAATATTATAGCTGTGAGAAACATGTTCAGCTCACCAAGTGAAACCCACCAAATATTTAAGTTCACTCTATGTTTTTTTTCTTTTCAATTGCAAACAACTGTGTTTCAATATTAAAGTAAAATGGAGAATAATTAACAGTTACAAATCAGTCATTGTCTGTATGTATAACATACAATTGCAGGTACAGTTTTGACTTACTAGTAAGTTCCCTTTTAAAATACAAGTTCAATAGTATTCTATTGGAATACATTCTTATGCCAACTCCAAGTGGTAGAAATAATCAGACTTGGGTAGTCCTCAAGCATCCAACATTTTGAAGCGATAAGCAGTTAAACAGTTAACAAAGACTCTTACAAGATGTACATATTTGTGACCTCACTTAAAAATTCTCTGTTCTACTCAAATAAGTACTAGTTTTCTCAATCCAAGTTTGATTACAGACAAGTGAAAAAATCCTTCCCTTGAGACAAGGAATAAGTCGGCCTCAATTTCAGTGATACAGAATTAGGCTCCGATCCTGTAAACACATATACATGCTTATGAAAGTATCTGATGAGTTTAAGTGCAAGCAATTGTGTATTTATGGAAGAAATTAAGACATATATGTCTTAGAATCTTTTAGCTTTAGGCTCCTGTCTTAAGTTTGAAATCCAGGTAAGTTAAATAATTTGAGATAGTCCCAATACATAGCAAGTAAGCAGATATTTATGTTTTTTCCTACTCAAGACATTGTGCTGGAATTTCAACATGCTTAAAGTTAACATATGCTGAATGAGAGCATTTTCCTGAACTAGGCTCTAAAATTAGAGAACAGAAAGCAAATGTCCTCATTTACCCAACTAAGCCTCCTTTCCATAAAACTCTGCCAATAAAGAAATACCAAGATTCAATTAAGTTAGTATGTTGGGCTCCAGTCATTGTCTAACATTGTGTGAAGCACTCATCTCAATATTTTACATATATTATTTCTCTCTTTCTGTCGAGACAGATATTCATACATATCCCCCACCCCCTTAGTTTAGCTCCAGTACAGTTATAAAAATCAGTCCAGTTTACACCAGCAAAGATTTGGGCATAGCACATTTTCCTCTACTCTCCCATCTTTTAAAAGCTCTCTTAACTAAAATGTAACCTCCAAAATATATGAATTGAAGCCAGGCTTTCAAACTCAGAAATAGATCTGAAAAGAGCCTCAGATTTGTCTCTCTCTAAGAACGTTATTACAGTCAGAATGGAAGAACCTGACTTGAAAATAAATTTGCTAATAAGATGGATTGGTTCACCACTCTAAAGCAATGAGAAACCAAACACTATCTTTAGTCGTGAGTTCACTGGCATGTCACGTGTAGAAAAGCTAGACTGAAATAAGGTGGAGGAGGATGAATTAGAAATTAGAGTTTGTGAAAGAAAAGTTTTAATATACCAAGAGCCATAATCATGCAAGAATGTTAAAAAAAAAAAAAAAAAAAAAGATGCCCAAATACTTCAAAGCAGCAAAACCTTGTGGAGAGCTTTGACTGAGGTCTTGACTACAGGCAATCCACCATCATCTTGCTAAGGTACCACAAAGGTCTCTTTGCCCAGCGAGGACTTTTGTCCCAGGGAAGCTGGGAGTTGGAGGCCTGTGGCTAGTGGTGTCCCCCAGGGGTCAGTCCTGGGTCCAGTCTTGTTCAATATATTCATCAATGACCTGGAGGAAGGGACAGAGGGCACCCTCAGCAAGTTTGCTGATGATACTAAACTGGGAGGAGTGGCTGACACACCAGAAGACTG